CATGGGGAATCTGATCTCTCTTTCCTGGAAAGGAATATGACTTTAAACACTACAAATGGCGGATGCTCCCTCTTTGACACCTTATTTTGTTGTTGAAGGTGTGGCCCCACAGCCATGTGGTTTTCAGGAATCTCATCCTACTTGTTTGGTGGTGGGGAAGGTGAAAGAGACACTGGGCTAGAAACTAGAGGATTTTTTTTGCTAGGAAACAGGTTAAGTTAAATTTTCCAGATTTCATTCTCTTACCCCTGTTCCTCCAAGCTAACAGGATGTCAGAGGCCTTTGGCCCTGTTTGTGTCTAAATGTTTGCTGATACTCTAAATGGGGAAGAGAAATCAGGCTGGCAGCCTGTAATGTACTGTTTTTTATATTTCATTATATCTTTTCTTCTTTTTTAACTAATTGTGAGTGTGATTAAGAAGGTTAACAATGGCTTTCTAAAGCATCTCTTCATTACCTAGCTTTCTTTTTTCTTTCTCAAGAATGGAAGCCAAACAGAAAGAGGTAGGTATGCTATTACTAGCAAAGAAATACAACTGGATTGTAGCCTAATGCAGGCTGCCTTTTGTTTCTGCACACTGAAGGCTTCATTAATGCACAGTGGTGCTACTCACTAGAGTTAGTGACCTTTTTGTATTTAAAGAGGACTTTACATGGACTTAAATTCTTTTTCTTTTGTTTGTGCACAATGTTCTTTTCTTTCGAAAATGGATGATGATCAGTTCATTCAAGGGCTAGAGTTTCTTGAAAACTTAGTCTAAGACCATCTCAGGTGATTTCCAGATTTGGAAACAGAACATAGTTGAACAAAATATAGCTTTACAGAAGGAAAAATGCTGATCAAATGCAGTCTTCAGGTCTTGAGTCCTGCAGGTGCTTGTAATTAACTATATATTCATGTGGACTTTTCCTGACATAGTCTTAAAATTATTTGACTACAGTGAAATGTTATGACTTCTATCTTGCTGGTTATATAGAATGTTTTTCATTGTGGTCCCTTGAGGTTTTAAGTGTCTGAAGGTTACCAGGTAGGATTTCTTTTTCAGATAAAGAGAGGCTTGTTTTCTGCTAAATATATGCAAAGGTCTATGGCCAAGGAATGACTCTCTCTTTTGTGGGGCAGAGGAGGGGAATGGAGAAGAAAGAATAATGATTATACATGAGGCAACTGTTTTGTTGCATAAACCCTTACAATTTTACAGGGATGTGAAAAACCAGGGAAGACTTAGTAAAATATATAACACAGGCTGATAAACTGAACCACTCCCAGAAAGCAATGAGTGAAGGTTCCAGTTTTTTAAAAAGAAGTTTAAATATGTATGCAGAGAAATAAAAATGTGCTTAGTCTTCTAATTGCTTGCTTGGATAGAGCTATGTGAAGGCTGTGTTCATCTGTAAATCTTCTCTCTGCAAATATTGTCTGCTCCCCCGACTGCAAGCATTTTTACAACAGTTATTTACAAGTTTGTCTTATTAACTTCCACTCATAAAATAGGCTATTTTAAATAATAATCTGTGTCAGAAATGATAATTAAAAATTATTCTTATCTACTGTTGCAGTACAGTACATGTCTGCTGTTAGGACTTTTATAATAGTTGTGAGCATTTTATAAATTCAGCTTCTTCTTTTGCCAGCCTATAAAAATAGATTGAAATGGAAAATAAACTTAATAATACCATCAAGACACATCAACTACTGTATTAAAATATGTATTGTTAAACAAATTACTTGCTTTGTTTTCTTAAAATAATGTTCTTTTAATCTGTTAATGTTTTGTTTAACTCTTCACTCATTCAACAGGTTTTCATTGAAGCTTTGTGAGTTTAACAAATATTTTCAAGTAGCTGATGTTATAAGAAAAAAAATTCACATTCTGTGCATGGTCTGTTTATTGTACCATGTTCTCCTTCATTGATCCCTTGGATCAATCCAGGAACAGCTTAGGCATTAACATATTGTAAATCAGTACAGAGTTTAAGCTTTATGACCTCTGCAGTTTAAAAAATACCAGAAAGAAGCAAATATATATATAATATATATATTTTTAAATGTAGACTTTCTCTAGGTGCTCCAGTAACTCAATAGATAGTTTACAATTCTTGACAGCATTATTTTTTACTTGAGTTGTGCTTCCATATTATACCCGGGGCATAAATGAGCATGTGGGAGGGGTGTCTGAGGGCCAGAGGAATAGGGTGGGACAGGGAGGGAGGGATGTTGCACTGATGTGAGTTTTATGCCAGACTTGAAAGAACCTAGTGGTTGCTACCATGGCTGCTACTGCTGCCCCACAGCCTCCTGCATACCAGTGTATGCTGCCACTATAACACTGCCTCCCCAGTGACTGCCCTTTTGGTGCCCCTTCTAAATTGGCGCCCGGGGGTGGTGTCCTGCTTGTCCAGTCATAGGTATGCTAGTGATGGTACCAAACGTTATTTTCCTCTAATGTCTCCCCCTATGATGCTTAGATATTTGCAAGGTGTGTGTGGATACTGAAGGGCTTTCAAGCTATTACTGGGGTTTCTGTGGCAAAATCCTACTTCTCTGTCCCCATCTCCATTGACCAGATGATCAGTGCCTGGATGTGGAACAGAACTTGGTTCAGCTCTCTCCCATTCTGCTTATTTTACATCTTATTTTTTCTTCGGGGGCAGAAGCAAGCTTATTTTCATGTCTGTTCTTCTCTTTGGAGCTTTGAAACCATTTGACTCCTGGATTTTCCAATGAATTTCCTTCCTGGAAAGCTACTTACCCCCTTTTCCCATGGTAGAGGATGCCAAGAAATGTCAGCCAAAGGCCAAACAGTGCTTCACCTGTGAGGAAGTTCTTAAGGAACTTAGGAAACTCTACAGTCATTGGGCCATTGCTTTGAGATGGGAAATGCCCCAGAGATGGATTAGTTCACTTCCCATTAAACTACATTGTCTCAAACACTGAAAGGAAGGAATCACTCAGCAAACTAACAGGAGGGGCTGTCTGGGCCTGTTAAGCCTGCTCCAGGGCCCTCCAGAGCTGCTTCAACTTTGCCTCAGTCAGGAATTACCCTACCTTGGGAGACCTGCTCCCAGCTGCCTTGGAGATCAGATCATCTGACCATTCCATATGCAGAAGTATCTTACACTGCTGTAAACATGCAGTCTGTCCACAACCTAAGACAATCTTTTATTTCAAATCTCTTCTCAAGATCTGGTGCTGCTGCTCTGACACCAACTAACAACTAATCTGCCAGTGATTTCCGGATTAAGAAAAAAGAAATAACTTGGAGCCATCAATTTGTGTACTTATTTGTTGGCACTGAATTTATGACCCAGATACCTTGTTCTGGGTGGACCCAACCCCTCAGACCGATCATGATTTCTTCATTGAATAATAGGAACATTTTATTGATACACAGTGATAGCAGATAAGAATAATGCAAACAATTCTATATCTACCAGTTCTAAAGCTGTCACAGATGGAAGGTACATCTGGACAGTATGTGAGCTTCACCCTGAGGTTCTCTCTTGAATGCCAGATTTCAGCAGGCTAGAGGTCAAAGGCTGAGGCCCACCCTCCTTCAATGGGGTGGGTGAGATGTGCCCTCTATCTGTGGTGGCCTCGGGTTCCCCTCTCAGACACCTTTTGCTGCTCTGAAATTCCTCCTTTTGTAATCTTTCTCTTCTCTGACTCTTCATCTCTGGGCATCGCTGATTGGTCTCCCTGTAGTAGTTATACTGTCCATGTTCTGTTCTTTCAGCATATTCTTTTTGTTTCTCCAACTCATCACATGCACATACATCTTAATTTGGGCATTTACCAAAACTGGAAATGCCAAGGGCTCTGCAGTTGGGCACTTTAACCTGGCTCTAATGCTGTGAAGCCCTTATCTCTATTATAGAACAGTGTTCATGTCTTCAGTTTCCCAGCCTGTGTATGCCCGCTTGTTCATTGGCCTCAGACACGGTGTCTGCTGGTTCCAGACACAGTGGGCCTTGAAGGAAACTTTGTCACAAATAGGCGTTTAGAAACCAATTAACCCTTCCCTTTTCCCTGGACCATTCTTCTAATGCAATAGTTACTTTACCTACAAGTCAATTTCCAAAAGCAAACCTCTAAATATCATTTTCTAGCCATCAACATTAGCTCATGTAATCATATAATCTTTGTTTTGTGTTTTTGTTTCACTCTTCATTCTCTCCTTTTGTATGTCACAACTGTATTTGTTTGCTTCTTTTTTCACAGTTGGGAATTACACTTTGTGGAACAATAACTTATGTCAAGCAGACACTGCCCTAGTTTTGAATGACACTGCTTTGGCTATAGAAGTCTGAATGATGGCTATTAATAAAGGTCATAAACTAGGTATCTAGGCTTAAACATTGCAGAGAAGTTTGCAAAATCCATTTAATATTATATCTGAAGAACTACTGCAGTATGATTTTTTTTAAAAGCTTTGCTCAACTTTTTGAGTTACTAAATTCTTCTCTGTCTATGTACTTACGTAGGTAGGGCATTTAAAAATGTAATGCCTGTTGAGTTAGGAGTGGGCATTCATTGACCTTTATTGCACCTTTCTTCCACTAGCAGTGTCAGAAAAATAGCAATTATTTTATGGTGGCTTCATTACGTGTCTTGTAAATATACAGTGAAAAGTGTGTGGTGTCTAAAGCAGCCAAATTATGCCATTTCAAGTACAGACAGACTAAATTGTTGTTGCATATGCCAATTTTGCAAGGATACCTGTAGCTTTGTTTTTCATGTTTGTTTAAATATCTTCAGGCAGATTTGTTATGTCTTTATCTTTTTTTTCCTCCTTAAATACCTATGAGGTATTTTTTTCTTCTGTTATATGAAAAGAACAGCAACATGTTCTCCTTGCATTTCAGTAAAGATAATTTGCTGTAATATATGTGTGTCATATCTGTTTTAACATAATATTTAATATATTTACATTCTCTACTGTAGTATAAGAAGTAAGTGTGTTTGTATAAAGTATATAGAATGTTTCATTTGTTTCTAGGAGCCTGTTTTGTTCACGGGAACTATGAGGAAGAACCTGGACCCTTTCAATGAATACACTGATGCAGAGCTGTGGAATGTCTTGGAAGAGGTAACTTAAAATATAGACACACACACACACACACACACACACACACACACACACTCTTATATATAGTTTGCTTTACTTGAGGAGTAACATAGCATAATAGTGGTTGTGCATACCAGGTTTGACTTAATTTCATCATTCCTTTAAGGATATGGCATTTGAATGAAGAAATGGTAACATGTTTGGTATGCTGTATCTACGTCTTCACACTGTCTGCTTTTTGTATAGTGTCTTTCTATCATCTGTAGTGCTTTTTTGGTTAATTTTGATTCATATAATCTTAATTTGAATGAAACTTTAAACAATATATTGTAATGATTTTTGTTAATCTTCATTACTCTAGAATTGAAGTACATAGTGTATGCACACAAACATGATAGGTAAATATTACATGTTTACTGTTGTATAAAGCACCTATCCTGATCAAACCAACAATATTTTGTTCAGAAATGAGCTCCTTATTCTGTAATGATCTCACATGCATAGGTGCAACTGAAGGAGGCTGTGGAAGAACTGCCTGATAAAATGGAGACACAATTAGCAGAATCTGGATCTAATTTCAGTGTTGGTCAGAGACAATTGGTGTGCCTTGCCAGGGCAATTCTCAAAAAAAATCGAATACTAATTATTGATGAAGCAACAGCAAATGTAGACCCAAGGTAAGGCACAAATAGCCATATTGAAATTAATGATCCTATCCAAATATGTTTGATTTTAACATAACTGTGAAATGAAAAAAAGCCTTCGTATCTCCTGTAGCCTGTGTTAGGATTTGTTTTTTATTAGTAATGCTAGTCAAAAATAGGGACCCCTCCTGATGTTCAGGTAAAGGTGTGATAGGATCCGATGTGTGACCCACAATGTCACATTTTTGTGGGATCCAATCAGCATCTGATCCAATCGCATTTTTACCTGAACATCTAGAGGGGGACCCCTAGTTATGATTAGAGGACGCTGCCATGACTGAGAGTCTCACCATTTGGCAGGGTGGGATGCTACTGCAGCTGGGAGCTGCACCAGCTGTGGGGACATACCTTGCTACACATGCACATTTTAAAGCTGGATGGAAACTAGTTAAAAAGTTATTACACATTTTCCAGCTCTAACTTTATAGCTAGCTGAACCTTTTCATGGTGTGACAGCTAATTTGCACATGTTGCTAATCTAAATTGTGCGATTAACCAGTTAATTGCATAATATATGTAACATGTAGAGGGGTCCTAAGAACTGTGAGTGCTGTCCTGATTTCAGAGAGCCAGTGAGTTACACCAGTGAGGGCCATTGGATACAGCTGACACTGCTTTTAGGTTAATGGTTTCAGCTGTTGTGATACACTTGGAACTTTTAGCTCCATATGTTTGTCTCTAGATAGAGGTACAAGCCATGATGGAAGGTTTGCTGTTTAAAGACATAGACAAATCATTACATGATGTAAAGAACCTTACTCCAGAGCTTCACTGAACTTTTTCAGTCTGTTTTCCTTTGTGCAAACATACACAAACATTTCAGCCTCACACTTCACACAGAAGGGTCTCTCAGTAATCTGTACCCTTTCAAGATCTACTGTTTGAAAGAACACAATCAGTGTTTAAGCTGCTTAGGAAGCATCAAAGAACACAAACACAAGGCTGTCTACCTCCCCCTTGCCATCTTGCAGAACCCCTTCCTCACAAATAAAAAATTTGTTGTAGTCAAGGAAAGTGATATACTGTATTTTTACACATATAACACACACTCCAAATATAATATACTCCTTGTTTTTGAAAGGCATTATGAAGAAATTTGTTTTTCAGAGTCACTGCTGCAGAGAGCAGAGGCAGAGTCTACTCTTCATCTAACTCAACATCCCTTTCTTCCTTAACTAAAATCCCAGCTATTGCTGAAGACTGGTCTCCATGGGTTCATCTATGACCAGGGATCCTGGTCTTCTCTGATTTAAAAAAAAATCCCCAATTTTTGGATTAAAAAAATAACCTAAAATCCACATTTTTCCTTGATTCAAATGAAATGCCACTAATATGGAGTATATAAATTGGGGATTTTTTTAATCAGAGATCACAGGATTCCTGACTATGAACTTGAAAATAGCTAAAGAGCTGTGAAATAGGAAAAGAGACCAGAAGCCCTCACAGCCAGCAAAATACCCTAAGAAAGCTTCATTAGTGGTATGTCTGTTAAAAAGGAGAGAGAATTTTTAACAACTATGAAGTGAAGAACAGTGAGCCATTAAATCAATACCCCATTAATGGGCCATTGACTCCCTCAGATGTCTAAATGGTAATACCAGAGCTCTTGCATTGTGAAGCAGGAATTAAAACAGGGTGCTTCTGTCTTAGGCACATCATCAACTTTCCCACTGAATATACATACCTTGATGGGGGTGGGGGGGAGGAAGGTACATACTGTATGCAAGAAAATGTGGTCTCTTCATCAGGCCTCTTATCTTAATGTTTCATCTGCTTTTATAAATTATTTTGTCTTTTACTGTAAGCCATCATAAGCCTTTCTTGGAAAGGATGGCATATAAATCAATCATATAAATACATAAAGAGTGGACCATTATATTAACACCTGGCCCAATATCACTTTGGACTGTTCAGTCCTCAAAGTGATAGTGCATAGATAGCTCATACACTTTACATTGCTCCCAGTTCCAAAACATTTTTCTCCATCTCTTTAAATGGAACATTCTTGCAAGAAGTCATTATGGAATGAAAAGCCTTCCCTTTTAGAAAAGGAACCCCAGTACCTCAAGGGAAAGGGGTTGTATAGCACTTATTTTCTGATCCCAAAGGGAAACTAATGATGATGATGCAGGTGGACCTAAAAAAGGTCTTCATGATCAACTTCAAGATAGTGATGGGGCTCATACCATCCCCTTATTAAGGAGATGGGTTTTTACCTCTTGACTTACAGGATATATACGCTTATGTTGCCTTAAAGCCTTTGCACTGAAATTCCTTTAGTTTGCAGTGGGACAGGACTATTACCAGTAAAAGGTCTTCTCCAGTTTTCTGCAACTCTGGGAATCTTCACCTCTTGATTATACCCACACATCTTGGGAAACAAAAGCCTGCAACATTTTTCTTACCTAGATGACTGCTTGTTTGCAAAAATGACCTCAAAACTTGGGTGTGACAGGGACAACCCTTGGGGCTGGGTCTCATGATGGCCTGCCCGTCTATCTCTCTGGGGCAATCTGCCCAGTCTCGCCTGCCACAACTTTGTTGTTCCCATAAACTGATGGTATAATGCAGAAAGCTGCCCATTCCCTGCCCCAATGCCAGGGGGAATTATCTGCAGCTCCGAACCTCCCCTACACCGCAACCCATGCCTCACAGATGGCATCCAGATCAATATTACTCCCTGGTTTGAGACCAGAGCAAACCCAGTCTAAAGTCAGGCTCCACACACCTGCTCATTCATACCACCTCCTCTTTCACAGGAGGCCTCTTCCATTACACCCCCCTCTCAACAGGGCCCCTGGCATACTGCCCATTACTGGGCCATACTCCACTGCCCTTGCTCCTCCTTGAGCAGCCCCTCTTGGATCATCAGACTTTGCTACTCACATACAGGCCTTGCCACACAGTCCTTCAGTTCCCGTGAGTTCCCCTACTCTATGTGGACCGGCATTGTGCCAAACCCTGAGCTAATTCTGCCTCAAGCCCCTCACCGGGAAACTCTACACTACACCCCACCCTGGGGTCTCTATCTCACGCTTGCAACAAACTTTTCATGGGACTGGCCCTTGCACTGACCTTTAGGCTTACTCCCATTCAGCCCTACTCAGCCTGCCTCTGGGACTGTCCTTCAGGCCTACTCCCACTTCAGGCCTACTCATCCCCCTCACATGCACAGCCCTTCGGGCCTACTCTAAGTTCAGCCCTACTCTCTATGGGGCCTCCCAGTGCTCTACACACTACCCACTCTGGGGTCTCCAGGATCTACATCCCTGCTAGTTCTTGGGTGCCTACACGTGGGCATACTGACCCCCTCTATTACTCCAGCACTCAGAATTACCCACCAGGTGGTGAAGGCTGGGGTTAAGACGCCTCTACCCGCCTTTCACTAGGGAGGTAACTGGTCTGGCATTTCCTGGGGGCTCCCACACCACTAGGAGCCCCACCAGGCTACCCTTCCCCGGCGGGGTGCAGTTTTAGGTCATGTCAAAGACCAAGAGCCTCCTGCTCTCACGTCTAGATGTTCCATGCTGCTCAGCCACGCAATGTTTGTGCCTGGGCTTTATACACCTCCCAAAATGGCTGCCCTCATCAGGCACCTGGTAGCTGCCTGCCTCTGCTGTTAAAGTGGCAGGCACCCAAAGGGGCACTGCCATATCAGGTCAAATAATACTTGGAGAATGCTTTTCCTCTTTCAGTGTATTAGTAAAGAAAGAAAGACTAAAAAAAATAGCAACATACACCATTTTTATTAGGTGCCATCTGTTTAAAATACTTAGCATATCAGACCATACATACAAGAAATTACAGATAAAACCTATTAAATATTTTTGTAAAATACAACTTTTTCTGAAACACCTCAGGAACTAAAAAATAAAATGAAAATGGAATTTATTTTAGGAAAAATTGTGAAAATGTGCTGCATCAGTTAGTTTGAGCTGAATATATAGTTCTACCAAGCTATGGCTTGAACACAAAATCCTAAAAGAACAATAAAACTATGAATCCCTCATGTTAAATGCATTTTGTTTGTCATCTGCCTATGACTCATTTTTATAACTTCATCCTTGAAGGGAATGGTGCCAGCTTTGCAGATAAGTGTCCATTTTATTTGTAAGACCTTTAAAGTAGTGCCATTCCCTCTCCAAAGATTTTGGGCTTGTTTACTTTTGGATAAGGAGTGATAATAACTGTGATTAATAAGCACAATGGAAATGTAATCCTTTTTACTCATCCTCCCCATTTTGACTTCTTGATTTTTTTTTTAACTTATACCCTGCATTTAATTAATCTTGCTTAATGTGTCCTGCAGTATATATAAAGGTAAATGTTTACCTTGTGTCAGCTGTAAGCGTAGTGCTACAAAAATATAGGTATGTAGTTTAGAGGTATGTAGTTTAACTTGGAATTTATTTTTTTAAGTTTATTTGCAGCTGTATAAGTTCTTTTTCTTTGGTTTCTGCTTATTTATGAGATAAATTCCCAGTAGTTTTTGCATATTTTAGTTTAAAGAAATTCCAAGCCACCTCCATATTTAACTGCCTGAACATTTCAGTGTGGTTAACTTCACTAACTAGTTCCATTCATTTCTCAAAATTTGCTTGTTTGAAATCAATAAACTTAGTTACAGATTTTCTTTCTTTAATTTTGTCATTTAATTTAAGCTGAATCAATTTTATTATTTGATCCAAGACTTTTTATAACCAGTTCTCTAATGTCCTAGTTACCAAATCCCAATCTAAAATAACATCATGTTTTGTTGGTTAGTGACTTTGATGAAGGAATCTGCTATCACATCCAGCAATAACTGGGTCCAACCATTATTATTAGTACTTATTCTCCATTTTTTATCTGGGAAGAAAAATCTCTGATTGTAGTACAAGTATTTTTTTTCCCTAAAAAGAAGCATTTCATAGATTTCATAGACATTAGGGCTGGAAGGGACCTTGTAAGATCATCGGGTCCAGGGGGCAGGAAGTCGGTAAGAGTCAAAGGATCCCAGCAAGATAAGCATCCAAATGTTTCTTAAAAGTGTCCAGAGTAGGTGCTTGTACCACCTCTGGAGAAGTCTGTTCCAGTCCTTGGGGGCTTGGACAGTAAAGTTTTTCCTTATGTCCCGCTTAAAACGGTCTTGCAGGAGTTTGTGACTGTTGGACCTTGTCATCCCTTGGGGTTCTCTGGTGAGTAGGCATTTCCCCAGATCCTGATGCACACCCCTTGTGTAGTTATAAGCTGCCACCAAGTCACCCCTGAGCCTGCACTTCTCCAGGCTGAAGAGTCCCATAGTTTGTAGCCTCTCATTTCTAGTGTTTACCTGTTGAATCCTCCTTGTGTGTATGCAGAGGCAGATCCAGAAAGGGTGCTTTTGCACTCCACTTTGATTCCTGGTCCACTCAATGTTTAAAGACAACTGCCTGGCAGTGGCAGCAGCATTTCTATTCATGCAGTGCTGAGGAAGTCATTTGACTTCAGAGCTCATTATAATCTACCTGATCCATTCTAAACTCTTCATTCCACATGTGTTAATGACCTTCTCTTCTTTTAAATGGTCTTGATGTTCTACCAATCAAGCTATCCTTCATTCTGCAACTCTGCTGTCCTGGTAATGAATTAGCTGCTCCTGGTAATGAAGCTCCTGTTCACAGCCTGCAGATTGTTTTTTTAATTTATTCCAATTAAGTTATATTTGTCTTTGCTTCAATCTTAAATTGAATAATATAGCTCCACCCCCAACCCCCTTTCATATTAGTAAAACTTCTAGTTTAACTGGAGAAAAATGTGTGTTGTTTTATATGTAATATCTTCACCCCCCTTTCCAAAATTTTAGAACTGCCCATGTGTGTGTGCTCATAATTCTGCAAGTTTAAAACTTAATGAAGAAAAATAGATGTTCTGAAACACCTCTGTAAGCTTACATTTCTTTATTTTTTATAGGGGTTTACAAGAAAATAATAAAGCTTCTCTGCAGTTTGATTAATCACGTAAATGTCTAATTATGTTTATTTGTGTTGCTCTTTCTGTGTTTCAGAACAGATGGGTTGATTCAAAAGACAATTCGTGAAAAGTTTGCCCAGTGCACTGTGCTGACAATTGCACACAGGTTGAACACAATTATTGACAGTGACAAGATTATGGTAAGAGTGCAAATGGCGTCTGTCCAAGTCTCTTTTCAATAAGATTGAATGGGATTTTATTTTTACACTGAATTTCATTTTTAACTGGAAATAGAAGAACATTACCATCTTCCTATATGTTTATACCTAACAAAACCACATTTACTGGCAGATTATAGAATCACAGAATGTAGGGATGGAGGAAAGGCCTATTAAAACACCCAGTGCCATCCATGTTGGTGCTGTTACATCACTGTACCCTAAAGTCAGGGCTCCATGTATTCTGCAGCGATATTAATTTATTTGTTGCTATGAAATGTCCACCATGCACCCTCAAAAAGTGTTATTACATATAGTTGAAAATATATTCTGCTGTGCCATACTCTGATTATTTGTAAAGAATGGGGTTTTTTTGGCTGTGTTCTCTAGGCAGCCCAGGTGCCGGCCCCAAATCTTGGTTTCTGCAGTGTTGTTTAGCCTAGCTGATTAACGTGTTCTACCCATATGTGCTTAGGCAAAGACTCTCTTGAATCTGGCTGCAGTAGGTCATATCCTCCACTCCATAGAGCTCAACTGTTTTGTGGCTTTCTAAGCATAAGCTTCCCAGCTTACACTTCTGCTTTCCCTCCCCCACTCCCAACCTTTTGAACCCCACAAGAAGTTTCCTGGTTTCATAGTGGCATCCATTTCTAGCTGTAGGGCTCAAAGAAACAATACTTGCAATTAAATAACCTTAGTGGGGAGCTTGGTGGAGAAACAAATAGGATAGTACAAAACCAAAATATCACCAGTAAAAAAACAAAATCAGAAGCTTAGCTACTGTAAAAAATGGAATTGCCCAGCAAAAATGTATTAATATTCATACACACATATATTTGATTCATATATATAGTAACTTTATACACAGATATACATAGATATCTATGTACATACGACACACATACACACACATAATATAGCTACATCTATGCCTATGTCTGTCTATGTAGATATAGATATATATTCAAGTTATCTTTCTCTAGATATGGATATATTAATTTGATTATAGAAATTAATATGTAGTGTGACTATAATATTTGGCATTTTGGAAATATAAAATCTGTGTGTGTAGAACTGCAGGCATTGATTTAAGATTTTTAGGCAGCTTGAGCCAAGTTGTCTGCAGACTCAGGCAGGGATTATTACATTGAGTTTGGCTCAGTTCATATTTTCAAGGTAATTTTTGCAAACTTAAGGACTAACAACTTAATGTGTCTTAAAAATATTATTAATAAAGGAACATATAATTAATAAAGGTTTTCAGAGCATAACCTGAGGGAGTTCCCATCCCACAAGAATGTCCCCCCCATCCCATTAATCAGCTGATTGACAGGAGTGGGGCATTCTCCCACAGTCTCTCCCAGTTCTCCCCTGCAGAGAATAGCCCCACTCTTCTTTTGGGCTGTTCTTCTTTTGCTTAAATGAAAATTGGATCAGCAGTTGTGACTTATGTGGAATGAGCTGTGTTTGCATTCCTTTCAGAGGGTCAGGACTATTTCATCCGTACCAAATGTAAACCTGTGTCTTGTCTTGGAGGAAAAGATTAAAAAGTTGGTATCATGGGTATCCATGTTACATACTGTTAAGAAAAATGAAGATATCTTGGATAGAAATAATGAGAGCCTGGTACTGAAGAGGCTAAAGGGAAAAGAAGAGAAGTGGCACCATGGGACCACTAGAGGAAGAATGGTCCCCAGAATTCAAGAGGAACAGATTCAAGTTAGCAGCTGCTTCCAAGCACTGCAGTGGAACAGCTGAGAAAAAATCAGAGGTGAAGACATTGGCAGGAAAGACCTAGAAGACTCAGCAGTCCAGAGAGTGGGAAGTGCAGGGCCCAGGGATGGTACCTTTAAAACGGGGGTGAACAAAATACGGCCTGTGGGCCGGATTCAGATGGCTAGCAGATTCAGTCTGGTCCACGGGTGGACAACCTCCAACTCTCTGGATCTGGCCTATGGGTGGCTGGCAGCTCCGGCCGCTGTGTGCTGTTGGGTGGGTGGGTGGGACTGCTTTCACCCAGCAGCATCAGACATCAGCTGTGGACCCAGGTGGGACTTCCACTGAACCAACCACTGGCGGTGTCAGCTGTGGATGCTGTGGGCAAGTTCAGGAGCCTGGATGCACAACCTGCCAATGGCATCCACAGCTAATACCACTGCCCTCCTAGTGCAGTGAAAGCTCCCGCCTGGAGCCATAACCCAGAAGCTGCCAGCAGCATCACCTTTGGATCCAGGCAGGAGCTGCTGTTGTGCTGGGTACACGGCAATGTCTTTCTCTGTCTTTTCTCTTCTCTCTCTCTCTCCCACTCCTTCCCTCCCTCCAGAACCTGGCTGAAGCTGCAGTTCACCAGGAGACCTCACACTCAGCTATGGACCCAGATGGAAATTCCCATCTGGGTCCACAGCTGAGCCTTGGGGCTGCTGATGAACTGCAGCTTCAGCCAGGTTCTGGAAGGAGGCGGAGGGAGGGAAGGAGCAGGAGACAGGAGGAGAGAAAGGAAATAGACAGTGAGGAGAGGAGAAAAGACAGGGGGAGGAGAAGATTGGTGGGGGGGAGGAGGGAAGAGAAGAGAGAGACAGAGACAAGAGATGGATGTGGCACTCAATAGGTTCGAAGGACTCATTAAGTGGACCTCCAGCCGAAATAATTGCCCACCCCTTCCCTAAAACCATTACACCATGAAGAAAAGTGCTGGTGATTGGAGACTCCCTTCTGCAGGGAACAGAAGCACCAATTTGACATCCAGATTTGGGGTCCCAGGAGGTGTGCTGTCTGCCTGGAATCTGTATTCAGGGTGTTGCAGAAAGTCTGCCAAAGCTCATCCGTCCCTCAAACCACTACCCTTTGCTCTTGTCTGTGTAGGCACCAGCAATGCTGCCAGGAATGTTGTTGTTGGCCGCCCCTCAATACAAGGATAACAGTCTTCCATACAATAAGGAAATCATTAGTGAGTCAATATGACTGAAGAGGCAGATCCAAGATCTTCATGGTCAATTGCAGATGTGGCAAATAGTTTTAGGAGGAAAGAGTGGAGGGGATCCTGATGATATCAGGACACATTTATTTCCCTTCATCTTTTATCTATCCATCTCCATAGTGAGGCAAGTCTGCTCAAAATGATTGATGCCTTGTCATACATTACTGTGGCATTTGGGGCAGTTCAGTACTCACGTCTCCCAGGTATATTTACTTTCTCTTCACCACTTAATATTTTGTAAACCCTATTCTTTTCCCCCTTCAGGAATCTCTTTTCTAAACTTGAATTGGCCTACTCTCTTTACTCTCTCCCCATAAGGAAGCCCTTCTATAACGCTAATGATTTTTGTTGCCCTTATCTAGTTCTATTATATACTTTTTAAAGTATGGGGACCAAAACTGAGCATAGTATTCAAGGAGTGGACACACCATAGATTTACAAAGGAGCATAACTATATATAGAGAGAGTGAGATAGTTGTTATTGATCATAATTTCCTTAATAATCCCTAATACATTGCCTTTTGGATGGCTGCTGAGCACTGAGCTGATGTTTTCAGTGAACTGTCCACAATGATTCTCAGATCTCCTTCCTTTGTGGTGACAGTTAATATAGAGCCCATCATAGTGTAGGTATATGTATTTATTTTTGCCCAGATGCTATACTTTACACTTATCTACATAGGGCAAATTAACAGCAGATGAAATTAATTCACTCAGTTGCACCATATCCTTCTGTAGTTACTCACAGTCTGCTTTGTTCTTTACCGCCTTGAATAATTTTGTCTATTCTGCAAATCTGGCCATCTCACTAATTTGGCCACCCTTTTTCAGATAATTTAAGAATATGTTAAACAGCACCAGTCCCAACGTGGGTCTCTGCAGGACCTTCCTATTTACTTCTTTCCATCCCACTTATATTCACTTTTTGTTTTCTATCTGTAAACCAATTTTTAATCCGTGACCATGGGCAGATCTGGGATTTTGAAAAGCAGGGTGCAACTAGCATGGTGCATCATCCCATATAAGCAAGGATTCTGGTTTTCTCGCATTTAAAAAAAAATCCCCAATTTTCATTTTTCAAAAGGAACCCAAAATACAGAATTTTTCCATGATTAAAATGAAATACGGATATATATCTAGATCTAGATATAAGTGGTGTTTCATTTTAATCATGGAAAAATGTGGATTTTGGGTTACTTTTTAAAAACTAAAAATTGGGGATTTTTTTATCAGAGAAAAGCAGGTTCCCTGCATATAACACAGTACTTATTTTTCTCTAGGTAAAAAGAAACTAATAGTTTTACTAGGGGCCTTGTGCTATATTATTTCATTTAATATTGAAGCAAAAACAAACCTAGATATACTATGACAAGATGATCCCCCTGATCTACCTGCTTATTTACACCCTCAAAAACTCTAGTAGATTGGTAAGCCATGATTTCCCTTTGACAAAACCAGCAAGTCATAGCTATTCATGTGCTAAACCATTTTTGGTGTTGTTATTTCTACCAGTTTTCCAGGAATGGAAGTTAGACTCACTGGCCTGTAGTTCCCCAAGTCCCTTCTAGAGCCCTTTTAAAATATTGGAGTCATTGGCAGCCCTCCAGTCCTCTGGTACCAAAGCTATTTTTAGTAATAGGTTGTGTACTACATTTGGGAGTTCGACAGTTTCAAATCTGAGCTCCTTTAGGACCCAAAAGTGAATGCCATCGGGTCTTGGTGATTTGCTGCTGTTTAGTTTATCAGTTTCCTCTATGACCATCTATTGAAACCTCAGTTACGGTCAGTTCCACTGACGTGTCCCTACAGAGGAGCAGGTCTGTTAAGGGAATCTTCCTAACATCTTCCAGTGAAGGCAGATGCAAAAAATGCATTTTATTCACAATGGCCTATTGTCCTTTATGCCAGGGACAGGCAATTATTTTGGGCAGAGAGCCGCTTACTGAGTTTCAGCAAGCCATCGAGGGCCACATGACAGACAGCTCAGGGCAGATAAATATTAATT